CAATGCAGGCTGCCACTAGTGCCAAGCCTGGGGACACTTATCAAGCCATATGGGGCACGCTGCTGCTTGTTTGAGAGATTTTAGGAAAGTCCTAAGTATAAGGCTAGAGAGGCCACTTGCACAGAAAAGACCCTGGAAATGGCTTGGATGAGTTTTCAGGTAGGGACAGGCGAGGCCTCCGGGAATCACAGGGCGGGGCCAAAGGTGTGAGTCAGGTGCTAGAGATTCAAATATGGCGCCTGCGTGCTGGCTCTGTCGGGGGAGGACTCGCCAAAGGAGCAATGGCCTCTGCCAGCTCCTGTCTGGGAGAAAGCTGCCCCTCCACCTCTTGTCCCAGTTTCAGGAGGTTAGTTCCTCCCTAAGTGTCCCAGGTTCCTTTCAAGCTGCTGCCCAGCGCTGGGGCTCAGAGGGAGCGTGTCTGAGTGAGTCCATGCGCTGGCCCTTTAAGAGGAGCTGCCTGGGACTCCGGGACCCTCGGTGACCCTCAGAGACAGTCCCAGCTGGTTTTCACAGCCCGAAGTTGTGGGAACGTCTCTTCCTGGCCCTGGAGCCCTGAGCAGGGGGCCCAGTGTGGGGCTGGGACCCCTCACTCCTCCAGGAAACCCCCACCACCGAGATTCCCTCCTGGGTTTAACCTGCGGCACCGGGTGTGGGCCCACAGCCTTGTCTCTGGGATTCAGCCCCGATCCTCCTGCGTCTCCGCCTCTCCTACCAGTCTCGGTGCTTCTTCAGGTCCCTGGTTGTAGGGCTTCTGTTCAGCCAGATCCCAGGAGGCTCTGAGTGATGGTGGTTCTGTATTTTAGTTGTAATTTTGATGTGGTTGAGGAAGGCAGCGAGTGCAGCTGCTACCTACGTCGCCATGTTGTTTCTCCTCCCCACTGTTTTTTAAATTTGAAGAAAGTATTAGAGTATTTGTTTTTAAATTTGCTTTATTTTTAAAGCTCTGTATCAAGTTTTTCTTCACTCAATTTCTTTGTACTATGTTCCTCCTCTTATTTCAAAGTGGAATTATTTCTGCATGTGGAAATCCAAATTTCTAGGCACATTGTCACTTCCTACCTGTAGTCCTTACTGTCTATCTGGAATCAAGAATATTGAGCATTTAAAATAACTCCCTCACAAGAGAACGTTCAGTTCGTTTTTTGTTGTTGTTTTTTTAAAGATTTTAAATTGATTTTTAGAGAGAGAGGAAGGAAGAGGGGGAGAGGGAAACATTGATGCAAGAGGGAAACATCAATTGGCTGCTTCTTGCAAGCCCCTGACCATGGATCAAACCCACAACCTGGGCATGTGCCCTGACCAGGCATCAAACCAACAACCCTTTGGTGCACTGGACGATGCCCAACCAACTGAGCCACACCGACCAGGGCAGTTCAGTTAGTTTTTAAGTCTTTGCTGATAAAGAGAGAAAATAGAAATGTTAACGTATATGTTATTTATGTTCTAACTCTATAATTTCACTAACTAAGATGAACTCCATTTTATTAAATTCTTAGCATAACCCAAATCTGTCATGCAATAAGGTTATAGAGTTTTAATATTAATTTAATTAACTATTAAAACAGAATGGAACAAAACTTATAGGAAAGCAGAAACACTTCAGAAGCTGCTACCCATCTCCTATTGGTAGTTACCTTACAGGAAAATAGATGTGGAGAGGAGTAGGACTGGTTGAAATCCAGACATTGGCACATCAACTTTCCTTCTGATCCTTCCTCTAGCCTAGTTCAGTGAATCCCAAGGCTTTGGCATGTATGTTAACAATTGCCCATGGTCCCCTTCCAGTGTTTCCTGTACTGGTGAATGGCCCCAACCTCCATCCAGTTAGGCAAACCAGGAATCTAGCACCTCATCTCTTGCATTTCCCAACTTATTGCCAATACTGTTAATTTTACCTCCTAAATACCTCTGAAATTTATCCAACTTCTCTTCATTTCTACCACCAGCAGCTATGGCCCTTCTCTGCCTTGGGCTATTGCAATAGTCTCATGTAGATGTTATAGGTGCCCTGCCCAGATCCCTTTTACTGGTTCAGGTCACCAATCTCCAGCTTCTGCGGCCCAACCTGCAGCTTTCTTGGAGGAGTCCCTTTCGCACTGGAGTCCCATTGCCAGGAGATGCCTGGGAGTTAATCAGTCTCAAACACCATGGTCAAGGAGCTACCTTTAGCCAGTGACTAACCAGTGCTGGGGTACAAAAGCTCAGCTCCCTCCCCTCAGGGCCTGCCAAACTCTGCACTGTGAGTTATGCTCTACCGCCACCTATAGGATCCGGCAGAGACTAGACTTAACATGAAACTACATCAATGTTGAACTGTTTCCTATTCCCCTCCAGTTTCTCTCATTCACATACAAGTTTCTCTAAATGGAATTCCCTTAATAAATCACTTTCATATAAATCCCTGTTTTAGTCCCCTTTACCAAGCATCATGTTGGATACATAGTTGGTGCTAAATAAAAATTTTGAATGGTTTAATTACTAGTTGGCTATTTTTTTTTCTTTTCCCCTCTTTCCCAGACAAACATCTAGAGTCCCCTGAAAGTCAACAACAAGGTTTTCCCTCTGACTGAAGAGGGTATTTTGATGCACATCCTTGGTAAGTGAAATGAATTTAAATACCCCTACTGATTCCAGCAAAATTTCTGAGCAGCAAGGGGGCTTCAGCACACCTTTCTTGGACATGTTTTCTAAGGAAACTGGCTATCCAAACAAGCCCTTTAGAACTTAAGACTAAACAAGTTATTGCTAATTAAATTTTTGCTATAATTTGCACATTTTAAATATATATTTATATATATTTATTGATTTCAGAAAGAGGAAGGGAGAGGGAGAGAGAGATAGAAACATCAATGAGTCATTGATCCATTGTCTCCTGTATGCCCCTTGCTGGGGATCAAGACAGAAACCAGACACGTGCCCTGATTGGGAATTGAACCAGGATCTGCTGGATCATAGATCGATGCTCAACCACTGAGCCATGCCAGCCGGGCAATTTGTACATTTTTGATATGATTGAGTGGTATTTTTCTTTCATCTATATATACTTAAGGGACCTTTGCATAAACAATGTTACTTTTATAGGGCTCACAGAATAATTTTCATATTTTTAGTTGTTATATGTGTTTCTACATGAAATACCGATTTTTACAATCTGTTGCTGCTCACTGTCTTGGCTATCTTTCTACTGATGTGCTCATGGACAGTTATGCTGGTATTTTATGTGACAGTCTGAAGGTTGGTGGCTGGATGAATATTTGCTATTCAATATTTTTAATACCACTCATGGTGAATGTATAATGTCTTTGCTGTAGAATCTTTATCCACCACCCATTTCAAATAACAAAATTGTTTCTATGAGAAAATACAATCCATTTTTTATAATGTATGGGTCTATGATAGACTGACTGTGGCCAAAATGGCTATGTGTGTGTAAATGATGTGTAGAGAAGATGCATGTATGTTTTATCCATCCTGAGGTACATATGTGCTCAGAAACATGCATTTCTATGTATATGTGTATATCATGGAGCTCATCCTAAATACACACTGAGAACATTTAAATGCTAATGTCCAAGGGTAGGAAGCAAATAGAAATACAAAGGAAAAGGGGGCTTTGGACCATTTGTGAAGTTCTGTTATTACCAATGATAGTGTACCCCATTGCATAGAAGTCAAATATCAAAAGTTACCTACAGGGCGAGACTGTGCTGCCCCGCACCCCCAGGGGAGGGTAGATATGGCATTGGAGAGAGACGGCGCATACAGTACCTGCTCCATCTTGATGAGGAAACAGTCCATGTAGTCTCGAGGGTTATTGTAATCCAGGGACTCTTGGTGCTCCTTCACTTTTTCCAGAAGGAAATTTTTAATATCTGAAATCCCTTTGAAAAGTGATCTGTGCTCTCCAGGGAAATGCTTTATGAGTCGTGGCCACAGATTGTATATCTAAAAATAAGGGGGAAATACACTTACACTGGAAATTCGGTTTGTAAAGAGGAACCAGGGTTTCTGAATGGAGTGCCTAACCCTCTGCGTGGTCTGACTAGACAGGATCCCTCCCTCCACCTGCCAAGCAGAAGAGAAGGGATGTGAGGATGATCACATGCAGGAGGGCAGTCCCCGCCCATCTCCTTGCTCATCCAGCCTTAGCCAACCCCGGAGTCATACGGGAGAGAATGGCCACCGGGGCCTTAAAATAAACATGTGCAACTGGGAATGTTTTGTCTGTCTTCCTTTGTGTGAGTTAACCCATAGAGTCAAGCAGAGGGCAACCTTCCAATGATGCTGGGATAACTGTCCTTGCACTCACTCAACATACGAGGAGGGAAGGTGACGCTGAATGCTGATGTTGGCCCCTTGTTCCTGGAGTAGGTGAGCGGAGCTCATAGGCCATTACCCAGCCCGCAAGCTACCAGTGGACCAATGAGTTCAACCGCGGCCTTACCTGGCTCCACCTAGAGCTTATGTTTTTAGCATTTTCATTTAACAAGTGCATCAGGTGAAGGAACTTCTCGTCCTGGTACTGGAAGCGCTTGTTGAAGAGAATGGAGCAGATCACATTGCAGGGAACGCAGGAGAAGATGAAGGTCGGGTCAAAGGGCTGAGCTGGCGCGGGAAGCGAACAACTCGATGTTTATGCAGTTCATTTCCTCTAAACTCCCCCAAATTAGGGTGAAACTGCCTTCTAAGAATACTGATGCTAGACAGTATTACACTAATAATGTCGATTACTACTAACCCTATCTATTACGTTGCCCTAAGAATACTTCAATAGTCGGAAGAGCAGCAGGTGGCATCATGGGGCATCCACTGCGTGCTGGATACCGTGCAAGTGTCTTGCAAACTATAGTATTCAACCCTTGTTCTGAGGTTTGACTTTTTAGCCCCATTTTTCAATGTGGAGACTGCATCTTAGAGAAGTTAAGAAACTTGTCCAAATTTCCATATCCAGTAAGTGCTGAAGTTTGGGCAACGAGTCCAAACTCAAGGATCTGAGCGTTTCTGCATCATTTCCTTCCCACCCCTTTCTTCCCAGCCAGCTCCCTGATTAAATGGAGCAGGTGGACCACAGGGTAATTCCCAAAGGAGGAGCTGGAGGGGGGTCAGAAGCCCCTGCCCCCAAAGGCTTGATGAGCGGCGCTCACCCTTCATTTTCCTGAGCTCCTCCACCAGGCACTGGGCTTCCTCTTGGACCCTCTCCTCGATGCTCCTCCTGCCCATCCCGAAGTTCCTCAGGGTCATGAGGGAGAAGCGGCGCATCTGCTTCCAAGTCTCTCCGTTGCTGAAAATGATTCCTGGGAAGAGGAGGGAGCAGGGAAATATCTGCGCCCCGAAGTCGGATTTTCCCTGACCTGTCTCCAGCGCCCCTTAGCAAGGATTCTGCAAACGGCAACTGAAGAGCGCGGCCTCTTCTGGGGTTCGGGTGAAATATTTGTCACAAAGGAAAGGAACCCCACGCTCTGGTCAGCAGAGGGCAGAGGCGATGGAGTGGGGCAGGGCAGTCACCGGCCAGCGGGAAATAGTCCCAAGTGCGGGAAGAGCCTTCTGTCTGGTTTTGCTGAAAATGGTCAGAAGTGCCCCGGCCAGTGTGGCTTCATGGTTAGAATGTGGGTCCACGCACCAGAGGGTCGAGGGTTTGATCCCGGTCAAGGGCACCCACCTAGGCTACAGGCTCCATCCCCACCCCCGGTCAGGGGGTCAGGGCGTCAGGGTGTGGGTGGGAGGCAACCAATCGATGTGTCTCTCTCACATCCATCTCTCTCTCTCCCCCACACACACTTTCTAAAAAAAACTTGATGGGAAAAATATCCTCACTCCTTGGGTGATGATTAGAAAAAAAGGTCAGAGTGGCACTGTGCCCTCAACCCCCTTTCCTGCATGCCTGCTCCCACGCTTCGTGTTCCTCGGGCCTGTGGTTTGGGCCCGGCTGTGACTTCTCTGCGAGAGGACAGGCTAAGCAGGTGGGTATGGGAGTTATGGCTCCGCCCTGTGCATTCACTGCAGGGCAGGGTGGCCTCAGCGGAATAAGGGCCGAGCCCAGGACGCCCCATGCCAATGTCCTCCTCTGCGCAAAACCCGTCACTTATTCGGGATCCCCTATTTCTCCTAATGCACTGGCAGTTTCATCAGCGTGTTGTGGCCTCTGAAAAGTGAATGCATGTTTGCAGCTGCGAACTGCCAAGCAAATGATCTCAGACTGGAACAGCAAAAAGAAAACAAACACCTATTTAAGGACTATGAACCCAAAGCTGTGACCTGCGTTATCACACAGATCACACAAAAACATCACAACCTGTGACTATCACACAGACGATCAATAAAAACGTCCTGAACTACTGAGCAGGAGCCAAGAGTGGCGCTAATGACGTAAAATTTGGCCATTTCTCTCAGAATGAGAGTTTGATGAAAAGGGCGGAATTGTGAATAAAAGAAATACAGGCCAAAATGGAGTCACTTCTGCTAAGGCATGTCACCAAACCAAAGCTTAATAACTAACGTGCTTGCAGATTCAGCCTCTCCCAGGAGTGGAATTTTAAACCAATCAACCTAGACTTCCCCGATCTACACCAGGGAGGTGATCTGCATGATAAAGCTCCTGCCATTCCCTTTCTCACCGAGGTAGAGGACCTAACCTAAAAATAACTCTTTCCTTTTGCTAATAACTCCCCTCCCACACTCTTCTGGATCTGAAAACCTATTTTGTACAGCCCCTTGGAGGCTGTATCTCTCATGGATAGATGGGATGTTGTCTGATACATTAATAGCTTCATAAAACCAATTAGATCTTCAAATTGACTCAATTGAATTTTGTTCTTTAACAGAATTAAGTTTGTGTTTCTCTAGGACTTGCAATTTTACAATTTTAAGTGGTTTGAGGTGTGTATTGGATATAAAATACTTTACATATACCAAGTATTACACAATAAAAATAAAAACAAAGATAGAACTGGCTATGCCAGAAAGACCAACTATGGATTTAGAAGGTTGGGGCTTTGAGCCAAAGGATATCAACTAATCTCTCAACTTTCAGGGAGTGGAGGGAACTAGAGATTGAGTTCACTCATGTAATCCTTGACTCAACCCACATGTAATAAAAACTCTGGACACCAAGCTCAGGTGAGCTTCCTGGTTGGTGGACACAGCAATGTGCCAAGATTGTTACACATTCTGACTCCTAGGGAGAGGACGCAGAAGCTCTGCATTTGGGACCCTCTCAAACCTGGCCCTATGTGTCTCTTCATTTGCATCCGTCATATAATAAAATCGTAACTGCAAGTTAGCATCTTGAGTTCTCTGAATAATTCTACCAATTATTAAACCTGAGGAGGTCCCAGGAACCCCTGAATTTTTCACCAGTTGGTCAGAAGTCTGGATGACCCGGGAACCCCTGAACTTAGGGCTAGCCTCTGAAGTGAGGGCAGTCTTGTTGGGGATGACACCCTTAACCTATGGAGTCTGCACTAATTCTGGGTAATGGCATCAAAATTACATTGCAGTATTGTAGCATCTAATCAGTTGCTTGGTGCAGATCATTTATTGTTACTTAGTCACTGTTTGCTAAAGAAAATTAACCCATATTTTTATTTGAAACATACCATATCCTTTATGAAAATCTGAAACAACTGGAAGACGTCCTCTGCCAAGGAATACATCACCCTGATCGACCAGAGCTTCCTTCACCGCCTCATATCCATGTAAGACCACGGTGGGCGTGGATCCAAGGTACACCGTGTAAACAGGTCCGTACTCCTTGGCTAACTGGAGAAAGATTCAGGCAGTTGTGTAAGCGCTATTGCAAAATCTCTCCACTGGAGGCTTGGGTAGAAGTTAAGTAATAATTTATAGGTAGCTTAGACTTTGCCCCATCCATTCCAGTTTAGAAATTTCATAATTCTATGAGAGTGATAGTGTACTGTGTTGGACGACAGTGGGAAAACAATAAAACAGAGAGGTCAGGAATCTATGGGGAGGTAAGATTTAAGGTCCAACTCAAGACGAGAATGAAGCAGCCAGGGCAAGGGTTTGGGGGAGAGCTCACTAAGCACATTGTTCCAAGAGGAAAAAGAGAGCATTAAAACAGCCAACAACAATTGGGCCATGGTTTTCAAACACCATTCTACTCTCTACTACGTCTGACTATTTTAGATTCCTCATGTAAGTGAGATCATGCAGTATTTGTCTTTCTGTGTCTGACATACTACTTAGGATGTCTTCCAGGGTCATCCATGTTGTTGTAAATAGCAGGATTTCCTCCCTTTTTAAAGGCTCAATAATAATCCAGTGTATGTGAGAAAGGATAGGTAGGTAGGTAAGTAAGTAGGTAGATAGGTAGATAGACAGATAGAAGATAGGTGATAGTTAGATGATAGATATTTTGCATTCTCTTTATTTATCCATCAATGGACATTTAGATTGTTCTGGAGAATATATCCTTGCACAATGAACTCCTGATAATATCTTTTCTCATATTTGCAAAGGAATGAATGTCGGTCAGGGTAGCAGAGCTGGGCTGTATCAGAGCAAGATGCTGGGGAGAGGAGTAAGGATTGCAACACATCCTGTAGATCATGTGGTGTAAAATAGTAGTAGTAATAATAATCATATAGAAGGACATTTAACACATTTTTACATTTTCTGGGCTTGCTTTTGATAAGTGTTATAAGCCGAGGGGATTGGAAGCCTTTCAATTAAAATATGTTCTGATTCCAGAATTTTCTCATTCACTAAAATTCAACCTATATTTCAGGTCTGGTCAACATACCTCACCACCGGCTCTAAAGTGTTCCAGGCCAGAAAGAAAAAGGACATATGTCTTGTAATACAGAGCTACACCCCAAAGTGCCTCGGTGGTGAGTCAAACTAAGAAAGGCTGAGGAAGAGAGCCAGCTGGCAGTGGGCTCAGATGCAGAGCCGGGAGATGACCGGCCCCAGAGCGAAAGCCCCTTACCTTGAGGAGAGATGCAGGGAGGTCCTTCAGGTTTAGATGCATCAGGTTCCCAATGATGGGAAGGGGAGTTGGGCCCGGGGGCAGCCTTCTCCACTTGTGACTTTCTTTCCTCACCAAAAGGAAAACCAGGCAAGCGACACAAATAATAAAAACAAGAGTAGTGGACCCCAGCAGCTCCATCTCAGCTGCTTGGCTGTGACGAACTGTCCGAATGCTTGTTAGGAAGCAAAGCCTCATGCAGGGGTGTGACCTGCCAGTTCTTGGATTTTGAAAAAAAAACAAAAAAAACCACCCACCCTGGAATTGATTTTGCCTTTATTTACTTTGCTGAAGCTTGAGATTAAGAAAGGCTCATGTTCCCTACCTCTCATTCACAAAATCTGCAACTTGTGACTTTCTCAGCATCTCCATTACATGTACTTTTTCCTTTCAGCACTAATGATTTATTACCTATAAAGTTGCATTTATTTTTTATAACTGTCTGAAACTGTCCAAATAATTAAATTCACAAATGTGAAAAAAAGTTGATCATATATCCTGAGATTTGATTTGGAAAAACAGAGCTAAAAGAGTCATCCTCCTCAAACATTATTTTTTAAAACCATGTTTCTCAACAGATGGATAAAAAGAAGGTAATATATACACATACAATAAAATATTAGTTACCTTTAAAAAGAAATGAAGTTCTAATATTTGCTACAACATGAATGAACCTTGAAGACATGATACTGAGTGAAATAAGTCAGACACAAAAGTACAAGTATTGTATAATTCCACTTATATGAGGTACCTAGAGAAATTACACTCATGGACATGGAAAGTAGACTAGAGGTTGCCAGGCCAGGGGGAGGAAGAAATGGGGTGTTAATGTTTAATGGGTGCAGAGTTTATGTTTGGGATGATTTAAAAAGCTCTGGAAATGGGTAATAATGATGATTGTGCACACAATTGTGAATGCTCTTAATACCACTGAACTGTACATCTTAAAGCTGTTAAAATGGTAAATTTTATGCGTATTTTACCTCAATAAAGGAAAACAAAATATTTACTATGGTGGTATTTGAAAATTGTTATCACATTTGTACTTGCATTTAAGATAATTAATGCTCTTACTGATTTATTCTTTGAGTTCTTACTATTAACAATAAGAACTGTTTTACTTATTTTAGGGGGGAAAATGTTTGCAGACATTTCACAATGAGGTCAACTGTGGACTTGGAAATGCTTCAAAAGTTAGGACTTTAATGTTGCTTTGGATGTTGAAAGCAGGTGAAGAAATACAGCGAGATGCTGGAAACACATTGGGAAAGGGCAGATTTAAAACGATGTTAACGTATCATTCCCTTGCTTAAAAATCTTGAAAGGATTTTTTGTGTTTTTAATAGACTCTTCTATTATTAAGACTTTATGTTTTTAGAGTCGTTTTAGGTTCACAGCAAAACTGAGTGGAAGATACAGAGTTCCCATGTATCCCTAACCCCCAACATCAAAATCCTGCACCAAGGTGGTTATTAGTTACAACCAATGAACCAACAGCTAGTACAAAGCTGACACTCCTGTTCACTCTTGGTGTTGCATATCTGATGGGTTTTGACAAGTGTAGAATGACATGTATTCATCATTATAGTATCTATAGAGTATTTTCACCGCCTGAAAATCCCCCGTTCTCTACCTATTCATTCCTCCTTCCCCCTAATCCCTGGTGACCACTGATCTTTTGTCTTCATAGTTTTTGCCTTTTCCAGAATGTCATCGAGTTGGAATCACACAGCATGTAGCCTCTGCAGACTGGCTTCTGTCACTTACTAATATGCACTTAAGGTTTCTCCATGTCTCTTCATGGCTTGATAGCTCGTTTCTTTCTAGCGCTGAATAATATTCCACTGTCTGGAAGTTACTCCAGTTTATCCATTCATGCACTGGGGGACATCTTAGTTGCTTCCAAGTTTGGGCAAATACGAATAAAGCTACTATAAACATGTGTGTGCAGGTTTTTGTGTGGATGTAAGTTTTCAACTCATTTGAACATGTACCAAGGGGTGCAATTGCTGGATCGTATGGAAGAGTATGTTTAGTTTTGTAAGACAAAACTGTCTTGGGAAGTGGCTGTACCATTTTGCGTTTCCACCAGCAATGAATGAGTGTTCCTGCTGCTCCACATTCTCACCAGCACTTGGTGTTGCCAGTGTTCTGGATTTGGGCCATTCTACCAGGTGTGTGTGGTATCTCGTTGTTTCCATTTGCATTGCCTTGGTAACATATAAGGTGGAACATCTTCTCATATGCTTATTTGCCATCTGTATATCTTCTTTGGTGAAGTGTCTGTTAAGATCTTTGGCCTATTTTCCAATTGGGTTTTCTTATTGTTGAGTTTTAAGCCCTTTGTATATTTTGGGTAACAGTCCTTTCTCAGATGTGTCTTCTGCAAGTATTTTCTTCCAGTCTGTGCTTGTCTTCTCATTCTTTTGACATTGTCTATTACAGAGCAAAACAGTATCTAAAAAGTCATAGCCATACCCAAGGTCCTCTAGATTTTCTCCTCTGTCATCTTCTAGGAGTTTTACAATTTTGTGTTTTACATGTAGGTCTATGATCCATTTGTGAAGGGTGTGGAGTCTGTGTCTCGATTCAGTTTTTGCAAGTGGACGTCCAGTTGTTCCACCACTACTGCTGAAAAGACTTTTTCCCATCATATTGCCTTTGCTCCTTTGTCAAAGATCAGTTGACTATATTTATGTGGGTCTATTTCTTGGTTATCTGTTCTGTCCCCCTGACCTACTCGTGTATTCTTTTACCCATACAACACTGTCTTGATTACTATAGTTTTACATTAAGTCTTGAAGTGTCATTGTGTCAGTCCTCCAACTTTGTTCTTTCCTTCCCTGTTGTGTTGTTTATTCTGGGTCTTCTGCCTCTCCGTATAAACTTTCTAATTAGTTTGTTGATATCCACAAAATAACTTATTGGGATTTTGATCAGGATTGTATGGAATTTATAGATCAAGTTGGGAAGAAGTAGCATCTTGACAATATTGAGTCTTCCTATCCATAAACTTGGAATATCTCTCCCTTCTAGTTCTTCTTTGCTTTCATCAAAGTTTTGTAGTTTTTCTCAAATAGAGCTTGTACATATGTTGTTAGACTTATACCTAAGTAGTTCATATTTTTGGGTGCTAATGTAAATGAAATTGCATTTTAAATTTTAAATTCTGAAAGGCGTTGTTTGAAAGGTTTGTTTCTAACTTTCGGAAAAAGTCACTGATATGTATGTAACAAGACTTAGAAGGCCCACCATGATCTATTTCTACCTTTCTCCCTCGATACCTACTTTGGCCAGTCTCAACTTTCAGTGCTCCCATTCTTACAAATAATGTTGTGCCTGTCCTCTCATTCTTTTGACATTGTCTGTTACAGAGCAAAAAAGTATCTAAAAGCCATAGCCAGTATTCAACTTTGTTCCATTCCTGGAAGGTTCTTGAACTAACTGAGGTCTTCACACTATTACCTGAGCTTTTATTTTTGTTTATAACAGCTTTATTGAGATATAATTTGCATTCCATACAATTTACCCTTTTAAAGTATGCAGTTCAGTTTGTGTGAACATGTTTTAATTCTTTGAGGTAGATACTTAGAAATGGAATTGCTCGGTCATGTGGTAACTCTATGTTCAACATTTTGAGGAACTGTCAAAATATATTTCAAAGTGGCTGCACTATTTTACATTCCTACTATTAAGGTATAAGGATTCCAATTTTTCCACATCCTTGCCAACACTCATTACAGTCTGAATTTTGGGATTATCGTCATCCTAGTGGGTATGAAGTGGTATCTCATTGCGGTTTGGGCTGGCATTTTACTAGTCACTGATATTGAGTATCTTTCATGTTCTTACTGGCCATTTGTATATCTTCCCTGAAGAAATGTGTTATCTTTTGCCCATTAAAAATTGGGTTGTCTTGCTATTGTTATCCCCTGATCTTTAACTGGCTAATATACTTTCTCATTCTTAATCTCCCCCCTTCTTTTTTTTCGCACACCCCTTACACTCCATTCCTTTCATTTGTATAGTCTTATCATAGTTGGAATGTTTGATTAAGGTCTACCTTCCCATGAGACTGTTGATTCTGAAACAGCAGACAGAGTATCTGTGTTATTCCCTATTTTGTTTACTGTTGGTCCAATATTTACATGGTTGAGGTTTCCTGGCACATACCAGACACTCAAACATTGGTTGAATTATATTTGATAGTCACATTGTTTTTCCTGCTGTGTCATGAGGGTTGCTGTCTCCACTGAAAAGGTTTTAGGGGTCACCTCCTCTCTGACCATTTGCACTCCTATGTCCCACTGGTTGAGGGTTATTCCTGGAGACAGTTTTATGCATATCTGAGTTGAGAAGAAAGGAAAGAAAAAAAAATTTAAGATAAAAAATAGTAGATGGTGTCTTAGTCTGCTCAGGCTGTTGTAATAAAATACCATAAACCGAATGTCCTAAACAACTCATTTCTGGTAGTTCTGGAGGCTGGGAAGCCAAGATCAAAGAGCCAGCAGCTCTGGTGTCTGGTGAGTCCTCTTCCTTGGTTGCTGGTGGCCGCCTTCTTGCTGTGACCTCACATGGCCAAGAGAGACACCTTTCTCATGTCTCTTCTAAAAAAACCAATTCCACTTATAAGACCTCCATCCTCATGACCTGTTCACCTTCCAAAAGCTACACCTCCAAATACCACCACACTGGGGATTAGGGCTTCAACATATGCATTTGAGGAGACACATTCAGTTTAAAGTAGATGGAAAGTAGAAAAATCGATAGAAAAATAGGGAAAGGTATGAATTCGAGACATGGTAAAGAAAACAAGTGAAATGTCATTCCGTGTTATGGTCTATATAATAATGGACACTTGGAGTGAGCAATGAATTAACAGTAAATTATAGCTGACCCTTGAACAACATGGGTTTGAGTTGAGTGGGTCCACTTGTACATGGATTTTTGTTTTAAGTTTTATTTTTTAAATATATCTTTATTGATTTCATAGAGAGGACAAGAGAGGGATAGAGAGAAACATCAATGATGAGAGAGTCACTGATCGGCTGCCTCCTGCATGCCCCCGACTGGGGATCGAGCCTGCAACCCGGGCATGTGCCCCGACCAGGAATCGAAACCCGATCGCCTGGATCCTTGGT